GAAAAGACCCTGATGCTGGGAAAGATTGAAGGCAGGAGGAGAAGGGGACGACAGAGGATGAGATGGTTGGATGGCATCACCGACTCAATGGACATGAGTTTGAGTAAGCTCCCGGAGTTGGTGATGGACAGGGAGGCCTGGCCTGCTGCGGTTCATGGGGTCGCAAAGAGTTGGACACAACTGAGTGACTGAACTGAACTGAATTGATGTGGGTATGTGTGAGTGGAAGTGTGTGGATGTGTGTCTGAGTAGATGTGGCTTGAGGGTGTGGGAGTATAAATATCTGTGCATGAATGAGTGTGTATGTATGTGATTTTGTGTGATTGCAACTACATGTGAGAGTCTGTGTGTGTGTGACTGTAGCTGAATGTGAAGTTATGAGTGTGTGCAGGAGTGTGTGCTTTGAGGTATACGTGAAAGTGTAAGTGATGGCTCTCAGTGTGTGTGAATGTGTGTGTGTGTGCGGTCATGTTTGTGCATGTGGTAAGTGTGTGGCTGTGTGTTTGAGTGTGCCTGTGTGGCCACCGTGAGAATGGGACGGGGGTGCCACACAGTAAAGGGCTGTGCAGCAGCAGGAGGTGGGTTTTGCGTCTCCATCCTGATGACGTGCTGGAACGACCTCTCTCCTAAAGATGCTCTGTGTCCTTGGCTGAGTGAACCTGGAGTTCAGACTTGTGAGAGTGAGCATACGATCTCTCCAATCAGATGAAGCAGAGCGTGTCAGCTTACTACAGGTGAGGAGATGAGGCTGTAGGAAGTGTCCTTGCCCACGGCACAAGGCTTGTACATGACGAAGGCAGAGTTCCAACTCAGGCCACCTCGTTTGAAGCCTGTGCTCAGTCTGCTGCACCATGCCACCTCCCAGGAGCTCCTGTCCTGGAGCCTTTCTGTCAGCTCCTAGAAGGGCCTTTAACCGCCACACCTCAGTTTCCTCATCTGCACAATGTGGAGAAGGATCCACCTAGAAACGCTGGTGTGAGCTGGGCATATGGTTAGCATGAGGTCCACATCTGGGCTGGGACACCCACCTGGCTGCCATTGGCCTGTGCAGGCTCTTCTGACTGGTCCCTCAGGGAAGCTTCCAGCACATTACCCACAGCCTGGAGCAGGTCCCTGGTGGCCGCCTGGCGCCTCCGGTCCTCAGGATGGGCCTCGGCACTCACTGCCAACAGGCTCTCGCTGGCATGCTGCAGAGCCCAGCCGGCCTCCCGCTGGCTCACCCAGGGGAGGAGGAAGAATAGCATGAGGCCCTGTCTGGAACAGACCACCCCCTGAACCCCTCCAGGGACCAGC